AGGAGGAGAAAGAGGAGGAGGGGGGAGGAGGAAGAGGAGGAGGAGGAAGAGGGGAGGAGGAGGAGGAGGGGAGGAGGAAGAGGAAGAGGAGGAGGAGAGGAATTAAACAGGTGTCAGTTGGATCTCATAGGCCAACCTGAATCCAAGAGCACCATGGTGGTTTGAATGAGAAATGTCCCTCATAGGCTCATGTATTTGAACACTTGGTCCCCAGTTGGTGGCACTATTTGCAGAAGTTTAGAGGGTGTAGCCTTGCTGGAGAAAGTGTGCCACTGAGGGTGGGCTTTGAGAGTTCATAGCCTTGTCCCACTTCCAGTTTGCCCTCTTGCTTCCTGTTTGTTATTGGTGATATTAGGTCTCAGCTTCCTGCTCCTCCTGCCACACCTCCCCACCATGACAAATCCTTATCCCTCTGGAACCATAAGCCCAAATAAGTTGCCTTGGTCATGGTGTTCTATCACAACAGAAAAGTAATACACCAATATTTTAAGGGTCAACTTAGTTCAAACCTATAGCTACTTATATATTTGTGAATTTTCTGTGTGCCTACATAAACAGAATAAAATCACTATAAAATTCTGCATCAGAAAAATAAAGGATCAATAACAGTATATGATATGCTATATTATAAAATTGTAATGTGTAAGGCATTAATACTATGTATGTCTGAGATAGAGACAGACTGACTGACTGACTTTCTCTAGCTTTATATCCTAGATCACAAACTTTCCTTAGCTTCTAGTCTGTAATAGCCTAGAATCTCTCTCATTCTCTCTTCCAGCACTTGAAGGGACCTCATTTCTTCCCTCAGTCAGGCCCCTGCCAGGCCCAGCAGCAGCAGGCCCCTTGAGATAGACTGCTGAATGGATGGTAAGTGATCTAAGCAAATGGAGATCCTGATAGGCAGGAAGCAGGTGACAACTGTGAAACTGGCAATCATGTAGAAGTTGCTCTTTACAATTATTTGTTTCTCCAAAACGACCCTGGTGCCTGGTACGTGTATGTGAGAGTAAGCATGTACGGGTGTTTGACTTGCTTCCTTGGCATATGAGGAGGTGGGGTCCTGCTTCTGTGGATCCCACTCCATGTACTTTAGCATCCTTAGCCCTGCCTCCCTCTGGGCTCACTCATGCCTCCTCAGAGTGTGACAGCTGTCCAGCTCCTCTTGCTCAAAGACAGCCATACCTGCTTGGACAGATAGCCTTGTTTGACCACTGTGCCACTTAACTCCATGGTACTAAGACTGAGTTCTTCTTTGGGGTTTATTTTCGTCTTGTAGCTTTCAGCCTAGTGGGAAGGGGAAATCAAAGACTTGTTACCAAAGAGATCCAGGTCTGGGCTATGGAGGCTGTGAGGGGAAAAAGAATTCCTCAACACAGAAGCTTGGAGATGGCACATTCTTCCCATGGCTGAGAACACTCAGCTCTTTCTCTTCCCCTCTGTCCCAGTGGTAAGAGAAGCCCATTTTCTAACTTACGAAAGTGTACAGGGCTGTGGAGTCATCCAGAAACTGCTCAGCCAGATCCCCAGAGCGAATAGCTCCCATGCTCCGGACCCCTACCGGCCTGAGGAAGTTTTCCTCCATAAGTACAGAGGCCAGGGTCACTGCCTCCAGACGGCTGGCTGCGAAGCTGCTGGAGATAAGCCAGTCCACCAGGGAGGAGCCTGTCAGGACAAGGGCAAGCACCTGTCAGTCTACAGGTTACAGCCTAGCCTTCTCAGGGGACTTGGTCAATTACCTCATTGATCTTTTTTCCTGGGAAGCCTCAGGTTCTACCTAAGGTCACACCTGCTGCACAGGGCTGTGGCCACACCCACTGTGGCCCTCGAGGCCACCCCATTACTTAGCAGAAAACTCTGTTCTTAATACCAACTGGTTAAGCACTTGGCTGAGCCCCAGTCACCATGTCCCGGTTCTCCACAGTCCAGCCCTGCTCTGGGACAGGCAGGCTCACCCAGAAAGGTCTTTTTGTAGGTGCTTCCCTGCTCCATGTTGGGGCACGGCCGGATTCCACTGCTGCTGTCGTGCATCTTGTCCACAATGCGACTACATGGAAGGAAGGCAAAGAAGAGACCCTGGTCACACTGTCAGCTACAGGGAGGGTCCAAGAATCACTGCTCCAGATATGAAGCAAGGAGCAAATGCTGTGACACACACATCACACAGAGAGGGGCTTTCTGTCACGCATAAAAATTGGACAGGCAGAACTTTTCAGACATGTCATCTAAGTGTCCTGATATTACCACACTAGACAAGTATTACTGTTGTCAGAAGAGACTAAACAATTGTGACTGTTTAAAATCCATCCCTATGATCTGCGGCATTCTGTCTAAATGCTTCCATTTCCTTCTCCGCATCACCCCTTTCTGAATCTACCTTATCTCCTGCTCCTCCTTGCACTCAGCGTGCCTTTGGCAGCTCTCTAGACCCACAAAGGATGTACACACTAGACTTCAGAGGCTGGTGTGGAGTTGTGTGAGCCCACGAATAGACTCACAACATCACATCTACGATGGGTGTAACAGTTTGGCTGCCTGGGAGGTTAAAGGACGTTTTCATGACAGGAATAGCTTTAATATGTGTCTGTGGCACTGGATCACCTCTACCACTGACTGGCCTTCCTTCTACCCATACGACAACTGCTGCCACCAGTGAAAGATCTTTTCTATATATGTACCTGGGGTGGAAAGGCCCTAAGATAAGAGCTTATTACTATTTGCATCTGTTGAGCACTTAGCACAAAGCATGGCATAGAGTAGACACCCAATAACTACCTTTTCTTTTTTCTTTTTTAAATTGACACATAACAACTATGTATATATTATGGTATACTCAATAATGATTTCTTGGATGGCTGGATGAAGAATCCCACCATACTGCCACTGGGCTTCAAAAAAGACTAGTGACTTAGCTGATAGAGCTGTGACACATCCCTGAGCACTCTACCTAAAATGGAATCTTGGTCTCCACTCCATTCACTTAGGTAGACCAATACAGCCAAGGCGTAAGAGTATACAGGAGGGGAGGGGGTAGATAAGGTCATTCCCAGGCAGAGAAAATAGTATACCCAAGACAAGAAAAGCTGACAGCCCTGAAGCACAGTGGTAGAACTAGCCTGGCCCATGTAGCACCACAGGGTCCTCCTCCCTGCTGCACACGGACAGGAGAGACTGTGGGAGGCCAGGCAGAGACAGGCAGACAGAGCACTTACTGCAGGCTGATGTTGGGGGGCAACTTGAAGGAGTTTTTCAGGATGTGGAGTTGCTGGACCTTCCCTGGCTGCCCTGCGTGGATAGCTCCTGTTATCTCAAAGGCCCAGGCGTCCCTCTCCTCTCGAGAACAGGCCTCCAGGAAGTATTCAGTGGAAGTTCGGGTCTTCAGCTTAATGAGAAGCTGTGAGAAAAGGCAACCAGACAGAACAACACTCAGAGGTGGTGGAGGCAAGGGAATGCTAGCAGTGGAAATAACAGGGCCAGGGAGGATCCAGGAAACTGTGTATCCAGGGACTGGCTAGTGCCCTTGCCCCTACCCACACCCAGCGGTGGGGGGGGGGGATTCAGATTGACTTGAACACATCACAGGACAGGAAGTTCACGGCCACCAATGGCAGCCTTTCCTGTCTAGACAAATAGCATGGAGTGCTTCCCAGTGCTGTGGCGCCGATTCTTCCTTTCAGAAACAGTTTTACCTATCACAGCCCCTCTGCTGAAGAGGGAAATCCCAGACTCCGCAGTCAGATGGAGCAGGACTCAAACCCCAGCTCTGCCACTTGGGAATGCCAGGGCATGTTAGGAATATCAGTGGACCAGTGTTTCCCCACCTGTGAAAACAGGACATTACCACCTACTCCAATGGAATTGCTAGAAAAACTTCTATTCACTTGTCTCTAGTTTAAGCATCTCCAAGTTTTTCACCCATTCTTCTTGTGACGTGGTTTAAACCCCTTCCCAACAGGTTTTCCCTCTTCTAACATGCTCAGCACTTGGTCAGCATCCTCAGAGAACATCACTATGGCTGGAATGCCTTGCTCTGCGAATAGCTGGAGGGGGCAGCACTGCAGTTCCAGCTGGCCTGGAATTCACTAAGTAGACCAGGCTGACCTCAACCTCATAGAGATCTGCCTGTCTCTGCCTCCAGAGTGATAGGATTAAAGGCATATGCCACCACACCCAGCCCCACTTCCCTATCCTTTAAATGAACATTTGGAGGGTTTCTTGGACCAACTGTAGGATTTTGCATATCTTTTTAAAAGGATTTCATTTGCGGGGCTGGAGAGATGGTTCAGCAGAGGACCCGGGTCGATTCCCAGCACCCACATGGCAGCTACAAACCGTCCTTAACTCCAGTTTCAGGGGAATCTGAAGCCCTCTTCTGACCTCCGTGGCATTGCATGACACAGGTGCACTCACATACATGCAGACAATACACTCATACACATAAAATAAAAATAATAAAAATATTTTTTAAAAATTGTGTGCATGTGTGTGTTGGTGTATGTATGCACAAAAGTGTCTGCAGAGGCCAGAAGAGGACATCAGATTCCCCTACAGCTGGAGTTACAGGCAGTTGTGAGCCACCTGATGTGGGTGCTGGAAACCAAACTCAGTTCCTCTGAAAAAGCAGAGAGTGCTCTTAACCACTGAGCCATGTCTCCAGCCCTTGGATTTTTCATTTTGATCCTGGCAACTGTCACTGAAGGAGATCAGGTCTGCTGCTTCTGTAGCACTCCAATTCAGTGCTGGGGATGGAACCTAGACCCTCCCTCAGACCTGTTCATTCTGATTGTACTTTCCAACATAATCACTGTCAGCTGTTTTGCTTGCACACTTAATATCCTTGATTTAAATTAATAGCAAAAATGGGAATTTTTTTTTCCTAATGACTAGCTCACTGGCCCAAGGGATAACGTGAAGATGTTTCACCAAGTCAACATTCACTCACCAGCATCATGAAAACTGATCTTGAACGAGTCCATCTGTAATTCACCATTTTAATGGAGAGACTAGAAATTCCAAGTGAAAGCCAAGCACACTCTTTTTATAGCTTTACTAATATATGAATATTATACATACACATACTTCATGATGTGTTCCTTGTTGTCAATCTTTTTTTGCTTATTTTTATTTATATGTATGAATGTATTGCATGCATGTGTTTAAGTGCACCTGTGCCATGCAATGCTGACAGAGGTCAGAAGAGGGCAGTGGACTCCCCTGGAACTGGAGTTATGGATGGTTGTTAGCTGCCATATAGGTGCTCGGAATCAAACCCGGGTCCTCTGCAAGAGCAGCCTAGTGCTCCTAACCTCTAAACCATTTCTCCAACCCCTCTAGTGGGCTAGGCATGGTGGCATGAGACACCCTATAATCCCAGTACTCAGAAGGCTGAGGCAGGAGGATTGAGAGTTTGAGGCCAGCCCGGACTTCATATCAAGACCTTGTCTCAAATATGGAAACAAACACACACATACTATAAAATACTCATACAAGTGACAATTTTGTGTAGAATCAGCATGAAGTTCACAACTCCAGCAGATTTAGCCTTTCTTCCTTTGGAAACTGAGGCTAAAGTTTTCTTACCTCTATAGCACCTATCCTTCCCACTGCTTCCTAATGCCCCTAGTAGGGGGCAGCAAGTCGAAAACAGATGGATATCATTTCTGATATCCAGGGTCTTAGGAATCACTTAGGAAACCAGGATTTCCTCTTTGGAGGAAATCTCACATATCTGTCCATCTTCCTTCTTTGTTCAACATTTATTCAACAAACACAAGGCATCTCTATGTGCCGAGATGTTGTGCTCAGTCTCAAGGTGTTAAAGGGAAGAAGATGTGGAGTCTTTACTCACACTCAGAACCCTCCAGTGGACCTGTGACCACCTCAGCAGAAGGCTCCTCCTGCCCAACTTCTCACTGTGGATAAGTGTCATCTCCAGGTGTGCACTGGAGTATTTCATTTGTTCAGCATTCTGGGCTACAAGGACATTTTGTTGTTTAACAAAAATTACTTTTAAATAACCTTTATAACAGGTTGTAAATTAATTCTGAAAATGCTTATAATCTTTCTTCTTTCTCACTCTCTGCTTTGTGACACATACAAGCTTTCTATTTTTAAAAAATACAGAAATGTGGTCCAGAGAGATAGCTCAGCAGGTAAAGGCACTTCCTGTCAAGACTGACTACCTGAGTTCGATCTTTGGGACCCACATAGTAGGAGAGAAACAACTCCTGTAAGTTGTCCTGTGACCTTCACATGTGCACTTGCATGCACACATACATACACACACACACATACACATGCATGCACACACATAATAAATAAAATGTAAAAATGCAGAAATGTACACATCAACATTATAAGTCAATTACATACATAAAATATAATCAATTGTATACACTATATAGTAAGAAATATGACCAAGTTTCTCTAACACAAAGCTAGAATCAGCCAAGAAAAGGGAACCTCAACTGAGAAATTGCCTCATGACTTTGACCATATCTGGGAGGCATTGTCTTGATTGCTAATTGATGCAGAAAGGCCCAACCCACTGCGGGCAGTGTCATCCCTAGACAGGTGGGTCTGGGCTGTATAAGAAAGCTGGATGAGCAAGCCAGAAAGAGCACTCCCATAAACGACATTAGTGCGCGGTTTCTGCTTCACGCTCCTGCCGTGAGTTCCTGCCTTGGCTTCCTTCCATGATGGACTGTAACTTGTAAGAGGAAATAAACCATTTCCTTCCCAAGGTGCTTTTGCTCATGGTATTTTATCAGCTTCTTTCTACTTTCTTTTTTTGTTTATTTGTTGAGATAGGATCTCACTCTATAGCCCAGTCTTGTCTGGAACTTATGTAACCCAGACTGACCTTGAACTTGCAGCCATCCTCCTGCCTCAGCCTTCTAAGTATTGGGATTACAGATATGAGTCACTATGCCCAGTATCTAAAAGACTTTTTTTTTCTGTCTTTTTGAGACAGGGTCTCCCTGTAGCTCTAGCTGGCCTTGAACTCAGAGATCCGCCTGCCTCTGCCTCCTGAGTGCTGGGATTAAAGGCGTGTGCCACCACACCTGCCTTTAACTGACAATTCTCTCACACTCAGAATGTGTAGTGGTTACCCATTACCTCCAACTGGCCCCAACAATCTCCCATCACTCCTTCAGCGAACATTCCCTTCTGGCCACACTGATGGCCTTTATTCCCAGGCTCCCTCCATGTTTCCTCATGCAAAGTCCTCTGCTTAGTTATACTTGACATCCTACCTATCTAAATGTGCCCTGTTTCCATCTTTGCCCAAATCTCTATTCCTGAAGCTTGACTTAGACAATCCATAGTGCCTTCCTACTTTTCAGGGACAGTGTTCTCTGCTGCTCATAATATTTATATCATCATTTGGAGCACCAAAAGTTTTCAATTAACCATTTGCTTTCCTAGCAAGATTTTTTTTTGACATGGTGTGTGTGTGTGTGTGTGTGTGTGTGTGTGTGTGTGGTGTTGTTGCTGGTGAATAGAACCCACTAGGTAAATGCTCTACCCCAGCCCCTGACAATTTTTTCTGAAGATAAGGCTACAGCTGCTCCTCATTTCTGAAACATGCACTTTTGAGGGATGCAAGCCATCATACTACTCCAACAGAGCAGTGATTGCCTCCCCCCAAATCTCGAAAGAAACTGGGAAATATAAAGAAAAGCTGTTCACCTGGAATCCTGCTATGAGGAGGCATCATTAACATTTGCTAGCTCCCAGTCTTTCTTCCTTTTAGTTCTTACTTTCTGGTTTTATTTTGAATTAGTAACTGCCTCCTAGACCACAAAGTGTTCCAACAGATCATCACCTTCTCAACCCTCATCACAACATGTGGAACTTGCTAAATGACAAATGAAGGCTGAAAGAGATTTAACTACTTGCCCAGGGACACATGCCTGGTTGGTGGTTCATTCCTGCCAGGATTTGAAGCCAAGTCATTCAATAACTTCTGCCAAAGAGGTTAAAGGGGTACCGTGGCTGGCAAGGGGACTAGCATGAGGGCGTTCACCTACTGGCCGGTTTTCATACTCCAGGCAGGGGCAGGTGATGGTGCAGCCATCCAGGAGGATCCGGCCCTTGGGTGGGGTCACTCGCCGACCGCCCTCAAGCTTGTAGTACAGCAGTGTGTTCTGCCGAAGGATGAACCACCTCGCCTTCCAATTGTGGACAATGTGGCCCTATGGACAGACAGACAGGAAATCCAGGTGGTAAGATGGTGCAGGAGAGGACACTGCACTAGGGAGAGGAAGCCCATGGCTCAGGCAGACAGTCATGTCTAGCAAGGGACAGAACAATATTTTTGTCTGGATCTCCCTTGATCATCTGAGTTAGGAGCAAAGGCCTTTGACTTAAACCTTCTACTTCCTATTCAGCCTTTTTTCTGTCTGTAAATCTTTTCCACCACTGTGCTGGCCTCTGGCATGCTAGGCCAGTGTTTTACCTCTGAGCTATACCCACAGAACCAGGTCATAAATCTTGAGAGAAACTGCAAAGTATAAAGAAAAATCACATATAATTCTTTTAGTATAAGACAGTCATTGTTAACATCTGGGGTTGCCTTCCAGTCTTTTTCCATATATATGGAATATATATATAGAGAGGGGGGGGTCTTTAATATATATAGACAGGGTCTAACTATACAACCCCAGCTAGCTGGGAACTCATGATCCTCCCGCCCCAGCCTCCCAAGTGCTGTGATTATAATTGTGGGCTACCATGTCTAGTTTAATTTTTATTTTCTAGTTTTTAAAAATTAGGACAAGATTACATATAGCTTTATTTTTTAGTCTCTTTTTGTTTATATTTGTTTAGCATTTTTTTCAAACTATTGAGTTTCTTTAAAAAAGATTCTTTTTTTAGGGTGCTGGAGAGATGGTTCAGCAATTAAGAACACTGGCTCTTCTTGCAGAGGACCTGGGTTCTCTTCCCCAAACCCACATGGAGGCTAACACCATCAATAACTACAAGTTCAGGAGATATGATTCCCTCTTCTGGCCTCCACCAGCATTGCACATGAGTGCACTTACATACATAAAAGCAAAAAACTCATAAACATGACATTAAAAAATTAATAATTTTTAAAAAACCTTTTTTTAAAAAGTAAATTTTATTTATTGTGTGTGCATATGTGTTATGGGTGTGCACATTCATGTGGGCACATGTGGAGGTCAGAGGTCAATGTCAGGTGTCTTCCTCAATTGCTCTCCACCTTATTGAGACAGGGTTTCTTACTGAACCTAGAGCTTACTGATTCAGCTGGACTGGCTGGCTGCTGAGCTCCAGAGATCCTTCCGTCTTTGTCTCCCCGGTGCTGGGTTTACAGATATGTGCCAACACACCCAGCTTTTTCTGTGGGTTCTGGGCATTGAACTCAGGTCCTCATGCTTTTGTGGTGAACACTATAACCACCGAGCCACCTCCTCAGCCCGAAAGTATATTCTTTAAGGACCACTTAAAGATGCATGATTTATATGACAACATCCTGTTGTTTGTAGCCAAGATTACTTCCACTTTTTTTCTACTATCATAAAAACTATTTTGTAATGACTATCCTTGTATAGAAATATTGATTCATCTCTCATTTTCACTCCTAAGGACACAATTTCCAAGAAGAATAGTATTAGTCAAGGACAGAGGCAGTTTGTAAACTTGAGCTTCATCTCTACTAGTCTACAGTGCTAGGGGCCCAACAGTCTGACCTAACAGCTGGGGAAGGTATGGAAAGCATGAAAAAGTAGTTGGGGATTCTAAGGTGAATGAAGGAGCCAAAGGACAGAACAGACTGATGGATGGGGGACCATCTACAGAGGGACCAGAAAGCAGTGAGTGTGGCAATGCTTAGCCTATTGCCCAGCAGAGCCTGATTTCAGACAGATGTGCTTAATCTGAATCAAAGACTTTCCCAAGCTGGGATTACACACCTGCAATCCCCAGACACTCAGGAGGCTGATGTAGGGGGATCACAAGTTCAAGGCAGGCCTAAGCAAGTTAATGAGACCCTGTCTCAAAATAAATTTTTTAAAAATGTAAAAAAGATTGGATGTTTGGCTCAGCACTTGACTAGCATTCATGAGGCCTTGGGTTCCCTCCCCAGTCCTTCAGAATAAAGGTCTTTTCCCTAATTCACTCACTTTCTCACCAAGTATTGTTAACATCATGATTCACTTGGCTGTCTCACATCTATGGTGCTACGACCCATTCCATGTTCAGCATATACTGAGACCTGTTAGGGACTCAAAAAGAATTGCCCATGTACCACTGTGCTCTGTGGGCCCTGACCTGAGCCCTAACAATTTACTGTGACAACCAAATGAGCTTATAACAAGCTAGTCTGACAAGAGTGTGCTCCCTTCACTTTGTTCCTTACTTAGAATCTACACAGAGCCACAGGTTTGACAGTTTTACTCAGTACAGACAGACAAATTTAAAGAAAAATAAGGCTTATTTGTTTGTTGAGATAGTGTCTTACACTATAGCTCAGGCTGTTCTGAACACCAAGCTGGCCTCTAATGTGCAGCAATCATCCTGCCTCAGCTTCCCAAGTGCTGGTGGGCCATCATACCTGGTAAGAATTAAAAAAAAAATTGGATCTGACTCCTCAGCTACTGAGCTGTCTCCTACTAGCCACATGACCCAGTGCCAAGGCCCCCATTTCCTATGATCCTCTGCTGTGGGGGAGGATGTTGGAAGCCACTCTCGGGGTGGTCTGGGTGCTGAAGAATTCACAGGGGTAAAATGCTTTCACATAAGACTGTAGTCGCCAGATGTAGTTGCCTTCAATCAAGCACTTACTTGGGAGGCAAAGGCAGGGAATCTGTGAGTTCAAGGCCTGGTCTACATAGTGAGACCTTGTCTCAAAAAAAGAAAGCAACAACCCAAACCATAAAACGTAATTGTAGTCAAGTAGGGAGAAAATATGATCTAAGCTGATGATATGGGGGTTTCATGTAAAGTGAAGGGTGAAAGCATCTTAAAACCTGGCTATTATAGGCTGAATGGGTGGGGGGTGTGGCACAAACAATTTTTTTAAAGAAAGAAACAATACCAACTCAGAGCTATTGGGCATTTTGTCCTAACTGCATCCTATCTGGCTGCACAGCATTCTAGTCTGATTCTCTGGCCCAAATATTCCTGTAATTTAACTTCTTCCATGAAATCCATCACTTCAAATTAGCTAGGGTAGAACGTCGTTATTAAATACTTGGTCCCCAGTTGGTGGCACTATGTTGAGTAGTAGAAACCAGGAGGTGGGGCCTGGCTGCAGGAAGTAGGTTGCTGGATTTGTGCCTTTGAAGGTTTGACCTGGTCCTGGTCCCTTCCACTCTCTCTGTGGCCTCTTCCATATGAACCCACCACCATGATGAGCTCTATCACCAGAATCAGTGCAGTCAAGGGCCATAGAAACCTATGAACCAAGAGTCCAAATAGATCTTCCCACATTTAGTTGCTGTACTGGGTATCTGATGACAGCAGCTGAAAACTGTGTGTGAGCAACAAAGATGATGACAGCAAAAGAGAGAGAAGGGAAAATGAAAAAGGATTTTCTATGCAAGGAGAAAATTCAAAGAGGTGAGTAAGCTTCACAAAAATGTTCAAATATTTTGGCTCAATAATTCCACTTTGGTGTCTGTGCCAAGTAAATAATCTAGAAATGGAAAAAGCTTTATGTATTGAGACATAGTAACATTGGAAAGATGGAAGACAATCTAAACACATTGTTATACATATTGCACAGTGTTTGGTGCATAACAGTACTGGGGGCTGCAGTGGAAGGAGTCCAGTGCTGACAGACCACTGGTACAGCCTGAAGTCAGCAACAGTCTCACTGACCAAGAATTAGTGACTATTAGTGACTGGTCTTTGACACAGTCAAAACAGTTTTAACTAAATTACTTTATATGATTCCTTAAAATAACTCAGGTAATATGTTAGAAAATATTCCTAAATATTTAGTATTTTTAAATATTTCTAGGATCTAAACACTTCTAGTGTTTTAAGAAACATATTCCATATTCTAAGTAGAAAGACTGGAGACAGAAGGATACAAATGGACACTTTACTTCCACGTTACACTTGTGAGTACCATTCTACTTTGCTGTTTTTGTTTGTTTGCTTGTTTGCTTTTTGAGGCAAGCTCTCACTCTGTAACCCAGACTTGCCTGAGACTCACTATGTAGCCCAGGCTGGCCTTGAATTCCTGGATAGTCTCCCGACTCAGACGCCTGAGTACTGTATTACAGCTGTGGGCCACCACACCTGGCATGTTTGAGTGTGTGTGTGTGTGCGTGTGTGTGTGCGCGCGTGCGTGCGCATGAGTGCACCCATGCTACTGGGGACTGAATCTAGAGCATCAAGCATGGAAGGCAAGTACTCTACCAATTTAGTTGTATCTCCAGCCCCTAATAATGTGATTCTAAAAAGTATATAAATGATTCTTTGGTGGGGCTGCTGGAAATCGAACTCAAGGTTTTGGAAATGCTAGGCAAGCATTCCACCATCAAATTACATCCCCTATGTTTTGAGTTTCTTTCAAGACAGCGGGGTTTTGAAATGTTGTACAGGAGAACTTGGACTCATGATGCTTCTGCCTTGGCTTCATGTGTGCTGGAATTATAAGTGGTGTATCATAATACCCAGTTTAGAATATATTTATTATTATTATTATTATTATTATTATTATTATTAT